TGTATTCTTAACAGATTGAGGCAGGAAGACTGCAATTTAGCAAGACCCTTTCTCAAAAAAAGGTCAAGGACCTAGCTTGGCATGAAGACCCTGGGATTCAAACCCCAGTTCTGAAAAGAAGAAGGAAGAAGAAAGGAAAGAAAGAAAAATAAATAAGCAAAATGGCCCGGATGGTAAAGTTTATGATACAGTCTATCACAAACTACTACTACTGCCAGAACAACAAAACTGGGAGAAAGAAGTCAGGGCTGAAAATTTGCTTTGTTGCTTCTGAAAAGTTAGCTCTTCAAGCAGATACTTAGCTTATCTAATGAAAAAGAAAACAACAAAGCCCATTTCACAAGCAGTTTTGTTTTTCAAAGTGACAAGGCAGGCAGGTGTGGTGACACACACTGTGGAGGACCACCTGAGCAGCTCTCCTTGAAAGAAGAGTGACTGTCTCCATTTTGACTGACCCTGACCCTATTTCCTATGTACAGAGCTGGCTAGGACTTCTGTTTATCACCTGGCCTTAGGTAAATGTAGGCCACCCACCTAGCTCAGCTCACAATGATCGCCTACTTCCCACAATTCTCAGTCAATTCTCCTCAAGCCACTCCTCCACTGAATAAAAACCCAGGTGAGCCCCTGGGTTGCTCTCTTGGTTCCAGAAAGCCATCTTTGTGGCCGGAGTTAGAGCCCCTTGACTCCCTGATGATTGAAAATATAGTGTCTTTATTTTTGCCGTGGGTTGCATTGTAAGTGGTAGATTGGAATCAACTTGATGGGATTCCAATAACGTAAATTTGGGATTATAAATATTGGCTTCTTGGATGGAGATGAGGTCCAGGAAGTGTCTCCTACAACACACCTGTTATCCCAGTACTTGGGAGGCTGAGGCAAGACAACCAGGAGTTAGCTTGGGCTACATAGTACGAACCTGTCATAAAGGGGAGGGGTCCTCTTATGGTCATGCTGGATGCGCCCAGGTTTTATTCAGGGGATATAGCAAAGGCCTTGTCATATGTGTTTGCTGGATTACCTCAGAACACTCAGTTCTGCTCTAGAAAATGAAGTCAACGAAGAGTTGGACCGCTAGAGATAGGAGCCAGCAGCTCTACGTGTGGCAGGCGTCCTCCTAATGAGGAATCTATTCTTCTGAGGCCATGTCAGAAGGCTGTGCAAAGGGGGTGGTTTCTGCATGCATCCTGACGAAGGCTGGCACAACGTGTCTCCCCTCTCCTGGGAAGTGGACACGCACATGCTGTCTTCCTGTACCTGACACACGCATCTGGAGTCCCCGTACCTGACCATGGAACTCAGTTCTTGACCATGGGTTCAGGAGACAGAGCTGACCCAGATCCCATCTAGAAAACTGAGAGGAAAAAAGGCTGGCAGTCCTCCCGTATAAGGTCCAGTCACTCTGCCTGAGATTTGAGACTGGCAGAGGTTAGAGTGGCTGGCTGACACATGGGAGTGTGCTGGGCTGTGAGGAGGAATGGCTGCTCCATGGCTGAATTCCACAGTGAGTGCCCTTAACACACAGAGGAGGAGGCCTTGGTTACCGTTCCTTTGAACTGTCATGCAGCACCCTTCTGTTCGTGCATTCTCTCTCCCCCTTCCTCCCTCCCTCTTCATGTTTTTTAATTTCTTTTTTCTTTTTTGGTACTGGGGACTGAACTCAGGACCTTGCACTTGCCAGGCAGGTGCTTATGCTGCTATCGCCCTGGCCTTAATTTTATTTATTTTTTAACATTTATTTTGTGTGTGTGTGTGTGTGTGTGTGTGTGTGGCCAGCTCAGCCCACCAGGGGGCTGGGGCTGGCTGGCATGTGGTGCTGGGAGATCGAACCACGGTCCCTGTGCTTTATCAAGCTTGTTCCAAGCAGGTGCTTTAGACCACTGAGCCATCTCTCCAGCCCCTTTAATTTTATTTTTAAGAGAATAAAACATAATAAACATTAGAAATGATTGACAGGGGCCGGGGAGATGGCTCAGTGGAATAAACGCTTCCCTGGCAAGTGCAAGGACCTGAGTTCAATCCCCAGTTCTGAAAATAAATAAATAAAAAGAAAAAAAGAGAAATGATTGACAGAATTTCAAAAAACAAGATGATTGGAATTCAATACTGGTTATACTGTATATTGTTGTTTTCAAAGTAGTGGTATTTTTATACAATGGACTATTACTCAGTTATAAAGAAAGATAAACTCGAGAGTTTTATAAATAAATGGGTGCAACTAGAGACCATATTCACAAGTGAAATAAATCAGACCCGCATATTAAACATCATACTGTCTCTCTAGTGTAAGAACCAGAAAGGGCATGCAGTTTTTTTTTTTTTTTGCGGAACCGGGGATTGAACTCAGGCCCTTGCACTTGCCAGCAAAGCGCTTATTTCACTGAGCCATCTCCACGGCCCTATGCAGTTCTTTTGATGGTAGGCCCTTGCTGGGGCTGTATACCAGAGCTGACAGCAGGCTCTCGCACACCCAGCACTGGAGCCCTCAGGGGCAGGAGCGTGGCTCACTGCTGGCCTACACAGTGGCTCTGCGCATGCCTCTTACTTGGGTCTAGATCTCTTGGGTAGAATTGTCCATGAGAGCCAGAGGCATTGGAACAAGGTGTGGAGTGCTTCAAGCAGACCTAAATTCTTAAAGACCCTTCCTGGGGTCCGATAGATTCAGGCCATGCTATAGAATGTCCTCTGCCACCGGGTAATTAAAGGCCAGGGAGTCAAGGAGGTCTCCTGTGTCAAAAACATGGGGCTGGAACTTGAGAGATGACACGGTGTGTGGGGATGCACTTACCTGCTTTCTTCCCTTTCCCTGCTGCCTGCCTAGGGCATATGAAGCCGGAGTGGCACCTGGGATTTGTTATTATTATTATTGGTCTTTTTGAGACAAAGTCTCGCTATGTAGCTCAGGCTGGCCTTGAGCTCACTCCGAAGCCCAGCCTGGTCTCAAACTCACAACGATCCTCTCTGTCTCAGCCTCCCGAGTGCTGGGATTACAGGCGTGTGCCACCATGCCCAGCTGGCTTTGAAGATCCCATAATCCTGTGAACACTCCGCAGGACGGCGTTTGCAGGGACACAAAATCCTATCGAGGCAAATACTATATCCCACAGCCACCTGGGACCGTGGTGGATTCAGGGATCAGGCCTGAGAAAGGCCGTGCAGAGATCTTTGGAAGCCTCGGGCGAGAGGCGGGGTCAATCCCTATGGAGGACCCGCGAGACGGTCTGAGAGGACAATTATAATTGTTATCAACAGCATACCTTATATACTCTGTCAAATTCCAGGCAGATAGTTCAATCCCCAGTTCCACCAAATATCGATCGATCGATCGATCGATCGATCGAGCAAGCAAGCAAGCAAGCAAGCAAGCAAGCAAGCAAGCAAGCAAGCAAGCAAGCAAGCAAGCAAGCAAGCAAGCAAGCAAGCAAGCAAGCAAG